AAGGTCCTGCGGGGTTCATAGTTCCGATCCGAGGATCCGGGACCACTACACCCAGAAGAACCCCAGCTGCATGGCGCAGCTCACGCGCTGGGTACTGAGCTCGACCCCTGAGAGCCATGGCGCGGACTCCCAGCCCGACCGCCCGACCGACCGCCCGACCGAAAACCCGACCGCGATCGCGCGATGCAGTTTTCGAGCGCCCCGATTTTTTTGTTTTTGTTTTTTCGTGGATGGCGATGCCTATCGCAGGGTTTGGGAGAGCCATCTCCTTTGAAACCCCTAAAAGCGTTGCAGTTTCAATGGGCACAAGCAGTATTGCAACTTTTGAAGGCCTGCATTGCCGCCGCCAATGAAGAGGATACAAGTACCAACAAGGAACCCCAATCTCTGCCAGCCCCGCTTTTGACCCATTTTGGGGAAGATCACATTTTGGCAACCCCCTCCAACAAGAAACCCCAATCTTGGCCAGCCCCGATTTTGACCCATTTTGGCGAAGATCACATTTTGGCAACCCTCCATGTTTAAAAAATAAAAATAAAAATGGGGTGAACGCTAGACAGATGACGAAGCACCACTAGCTTCACATAAGATTTCCCGTGGGGGGTATATCCCGTACGGTGGATAGGCAAGCCTACCAGCTGACATGGATGAAACCCGATCAATACGGGGATAACCACTATCAACTGGTGCGAACAGGATTCTGTCCATCCACATGCCCAAAACATCCCCTTCGCAGCGTTCGCAGAAGGGCGCAAGCGTTAAGTTTTGACTATAGACATCATTTAGGCGGGGATCCATGTTCCCTACCACTTTTGAGGAGGTTCCCTATTCAATTCATTGCCATGAACCACAATCAAAGCTTGGGTATCTGAGATGGCTTCCACTACCCCAAGGGAAATCAGGGTGTATAGTTATATACCCCATGTTTCCCGTTGTTGTTTGCTTGTTTGTTTGTTTGTTTTTGGTTTGTTTGTTTGTTTGTTTGCTGGCTGTGTTTGTTGGTCCGTTTGTTCGTTTGTTTCTTTGTTTGTGTGTCTGTCTGTCTGTCTGTCTTTTGGATGGGCACATCTCAGAGGGTAGTGAAGAAAGACAGTCTCCCGTTTTCCGGTGCCTTGTGTTTCCCCAGATGTTTTCCTTGCGGGTAGTGGTAGTGGGCACCGTCAAAGCTTGGGTTGGGCAGGTGAAGGTTGACAGCCCCGCGTTTTTCCAAGCCTGTAGTCACCATTAAAGCTTAGCTGAATCCCAGATGGTTTCCACCCGCAACTCCCCCCCCCCCCGCAGTGGCAAGAAAGTTGCTGTAGATCACATCAAGCCCCTGAAAGGGTAGTGGACAGTCCAGCGTTTTCCGGTGTGTTCGGTTTCCCCGCCATGAAGGTTTCCACTACCCGCAAACCTCCCCCCACGCACCCTCCCCCCCCACCTTCCTCCCTCGCCCCCCCCCACCTTCGTCCCCCCCCCAACCCCCCCAACCCCCCCCCCCCCCACCCCAGCCCTCCCTCCCCCCCTCCATCCTTTTCCCCTCGGCGGGGAAAAATCCGCCGGCCGAGGCCTGCGGGTCTTCAAGAAGCACCTGGCGCGGCGCTTCGGCTCCGCGGTGGGGGCCTGGCGGCGCCGCTGCGGGCGCCTGGTGAGCTTCAGCAAGTTCCGGGACCTCTGCGCCTTTGGCAGCAGCCAAATGGAGGGCACCGCCTAGGTCGGCCGCGGGAAATCCCCCGGTTGAGGTCTCTGTGTCCTCCATTGGCTGGAAAGAATATGTTTGTTTTCTTATGTTTCCTTGCTGGTCTTAAAAAGAATTCATCACTACTGGAAATATTTGTTCTAAGTGTTTGTTGCATTTTGCCAAGGGATAGGACTTTAACTTTTGCAAACTAAGGGGTTTTCCGAATTACACCACTAGAAGTTAAACTTCTAGCAGGGGAGCAGAAAGCAACCGAGTCTTTGTGGACCCTGCGACGGACCGTTCTCCATAGATGTTCCCGTTTGTGAGCGCAAGGGAAGCAGAAAAACTCAACCGAGGGTCAAGCCATCGTTCCCTGCTATCCCCTGCAGAACCCACACGTGAGATTTGGGCCTCTCATAGCTGACCCGGCCTCGTTCAAAACCGTCAAAGCCTTGTTTCTTCTTGACCCCAGCCACAGTCGAATTTTGAATCTCAAGGTTGCAGACCATAGACCAAATCTTTGGACGGGAGCAGGAAGTTTGCCAAACCAGGTGGCCAAGGGTCAAAATCCAAATCGTACCCCCAGTGAACATCCCAATCCAACCACTGGGTGGTGAATTCACCTACCAACCAAAATGGGATCCCCAAGAAGGTTTTGACAACCACAGCCAGTCCAACCGGACTCGGCCCATTCGGCCCCCGGCTGAAGGCAAGGAGCTGAAGTACCGGGAGCACGCCTCGGAGTACTGGCAGGACAGCCAAATGGGAAGCCAGGATTGATCGCCCAGTAGCCCGATTCAAAGGAAAGAGTATTGCATTTTGAAGAGCATTGGTGTCCGTTTTGGAAAATAATGGTTGAAACATAGAGGGCGGTTCCTGGCTTGCCTGGTGGTTCAATCAACTACCAGGACCATCTATTTTCCCAAAAAGGACGCCTATGTTCAAGAAGAACAACCTATTACCCCGTCATGTTCCTTACGGATCTGGGATCAACCGTGTGAACTGTGAAGAATCCAGCACACTAAAGGTGTGAATGCAGGCCCTGGGTACTTGAGCTGCAAGCGTGGCCGTTCTCAGGTACACGGTTTCCTTGTTAGACACCCCCGAACCAATGAAGACTTCATGGTGGCTCATGGTGGCTCATCAGGAAGGTGGAAGGCCAGATTTTCGGATCAAAATCATGGGTATGGATTCGCGACTCTTTGTCACTTTGTGGCGGAGTTGAGGTTCGCATTGACAAGTTCCTGTACAAGTAGTTTGCCGGTTTTGCCTGTGGCTTGCGAGCCGGTGTTGTTTCAGGTTGAAGTTAAAGGGATAGCAAAAAGGAACACTGCTCTGAACGGTTCCAAATCCCTTTTGGACTGCGACTGGGTTCGGGATCCGTTTAAAAGGAACACCGCCTCTCGGTCCAAACTAAATTTGGGTCCAAATGGGTCTCTTTTTTTGGGGGGGATCCTCCAAAACCGTGGGTTGTCCTTTGGTTTCCATGTAAAACCAACTAAAAATGGGCCTCTCAAAACAGGACATATCCTCCCATCAACATGGAACCTGACAGGGGTGTCCCTTTAAAAGGAAAACGGTCCAAACCAGCACCCCCCAAAACGTCGAACGGTTCCATGTTGAGTGGCCTGCAGGGTCAAATGAGCTATGATAAAGATCCTTGGGGGATCCAAGTCCTATTTCAGTTTTGGTTTTTCTCTTTTTTCCGAATTTCCGCAAAATGTTGCAGAATTGGTGGGAACACGGCCTTGCACCAAGCGAACCTCGAACGGTTCCACGTTAGTTGGGTATGGCTCAAAGTTACAGAGCTGGGGCTTGCCCCGCGGGTAGTCTTTGGCTCCATTTGCCAGGGTGCCATTTTGGGGGTTCCATATTTTTGAGCCACAGCCAGTTGGTGGGAGGGTACCCATGTCCCCCCGAGTTGGGACTCGTTCCCAGGAGCTGGACATTGGCCGGAGCGGGTGCGTGTCCCTCTTCGAGGTGGACCCCCAGTTGGTGTGTGCCATGACGCAAGCGGACTTTTTCCCCATTTCGTGGTTGTTGTCGGGAAACATTTGACATTTTTGCTTATTGTGGTTGAGTGGGAAATCCCCACTTAACTGCTAAAATTTACTTTTTTGCTCCCCTTCCAACGTCAACCAATATGTTTTTCCGGGGAAGCCCGAAGAGAGTCGCGGAACCCATTCTCACCGGTGGCTTAACCACAAAGAGGCAACCCCAAAAGGGATGGATCGTTTTGTGGCTTCTTTCAGTTGCTGAAATGAAGATGTGTGCGTTTTCCGCGGTTGTTTTTTCCTTTTAAGGGAATACTCCTCCTTTTTTCCAAGGCGACTCAAGCAAATGGAAGGCTTGAGCACCACAAACAGGTATCCGCAAGCACAGGGATGGTGTTGTTTTTTTCTTTTTCTTTTTTTTCTTGAATGCAATTTGGTTGAAGGGATCAGCTACCCTCCCAACGTTGGCATGGAACCCACCAGAGCGCCCATGTTCAAGGAACATGGTCTTCCAGGATCCCGAAACGTGAGGTTCTATGTTGATGGGCAGGGTCCCCAGCAAAAGGAATGGATTTTGTTGAAAGCAAGTTGGTTGGATGGATCCTATGGATCCAGCGGTAAGGTAGACTTTAACCTTCCTAGCCTTGCAGTTCAGCCGCATCCTCGAAAGCCTTTTCGTTTGAAGGGGTTCCCACCAGAAATGAACCCGGAGAAGGATTGCTTTTTCTATCACGGTCAGTGGGCAACTGGGGCTTGGTCACACGTTCTAACCCCCCTCCAACTTGAAACTGACATAATCTTCCTGTTGGCGACAGGGGCTTGAAATGTTGATCAAGATTCCAGAAATACCGAAAATCCCAGAAAGAAAACCGCGCTTGGTTTAGGATTGGCGTGGAATTTGTTTTCGGGTTGGTGTTGGATTGGTTACTGTAGGCTAATTTAAGGTGAGCTTAGGGCTGGTTTAAGGATTTTGAGTGGGCCAAGGGTTGGTTGGTGGGCTAGGGTTTGGGCTGGGCTTCGCTAAGGGTCACCAAGATGCCAGAGTCGCAACAAATCGCTGGGGGTCGCTAAGGAACATTTCACACCGGTCATGTGTGCTGTTTCTGGGGGTGACTTGCGTCCAGGGAGCGGTAACCTGATGCCCGCAACATGGCACCGAAAAGGCTTTCAACAGGAGATTCTTCTTCTCAGTTCATTGCTGTGTGGGGCCATGCTCATTCGGAGAGAACATATACTTGGCGTGTTGGTCATGTGCAAGCCAAGCTGGAAGCGAGGACTTGAAGTATCGACCCAGGCTATGGCCAGGGTGGTTGGTTAGCATGTGGGCATGTGTTTTTTGAGGTGACTGACCCCCCAAAATGGCGGGTTTCCTTTTGGTTCCCTTCAAAAGCCAACTTTCAAAAGAAGGGTACCATCCGAAAAAGATACCAAACCGGTAACCCATACTGGGTTTAAGAGGCCTTGTTGCCGAGATATGGAGCTCTTTGGCCGAGACAGTCTCACTGCAAGGTATGCTGGCCACCTTCAGGGCTAGGCGGGATGGCATCGGATGGAAGGGGGGGGGGGGGTCATTGGACCTGTCTGGCTGGAGAGCTTGCTTTGTTCATGGGGCCTGGGGAAGGGAGGGGAGGGGGAGGAGAGGGGGAGGGAGCCCAAATAAGCCCTTAAACCCTAAAACCCTTAATAAGGCCTTATTTAGGGCTTATCCTCCCCTCCCTCCCCGCAACCATGATTTGTTTCTCCACTGCCTTCTCACGTGGCTTTGCGGATGTGAGTGCAAGCACAGCAATGCGCGCCCTTCCATTCCATACGTCATGTTGGACAGTGGTGTGGGGTGCCATGTGGTGGCAACCCCAAGGACCGGTCCGCTGGTCGGCAGCAGGATGGGAGTTGTTCCAAGCTGTAGCATCTGCTCGCGAGGACTTTGGTTCCAGTCAGGTCTCCCCCGAATTTGTGGTTTGGATTGAGGGTATTAGAGCGTAAATGGGAAACCAGCCAACCAGCCCGAACTTGGATCGAGGCTGGGATAAAAGAGCCTGGTATGTATAGAGGGTAATGTGAAACCTGACTTCCAACCACCCCCAACCCCAGGGAAGCTGAGCTTCCACCAATCTCAACCGGAAAGCTGATCCCTGGCTTTTTCAGGCTCTTGAAGCTGGCCGGCGTCACTGACACGCCAGCGCCGGAGGAGCGATGAGGGATGAACTGGAGAAATGTCTGGGGCTTGATTCCTTTTCCATTCTTTTCAACCATCGTTCTTTTCAAAAACCGGATCTGTTTTTCCCGGGTTTCCGGAGGTTTTCTAGAAAGAAGGAATCCTGAAAAAAATGGAGAAGATATGCTTAATTAGGAAATTGGGATCTGAACGGGAACCTCCATAGATGGGTTCTTTTAGAAAACTCTCTTCAGTGCAAATGCGGGAATTATCCTAAAAGCAGGCACAGCCATATGTGTGACATGTTCCACACAAATGACATACAACCAGTGCATGTGTTCGAGATGGCCAGCCAAGCCTGATGACAGTGACGGGAGTGTGCTCTTATGGGCTTTTTCTGCACTGCACCAGCTGGATCTTACGCAGGGCTCCATATTGCAGAGGCTGTGGGTCAAACCAATGGTACCATTTTGGGGTTTTCGGTGAATTCACCGCCAAAAAAATTCGAACCTATTTGGTTGGATTGAATCGGATGTTCACTGAAAGCGAACCGATTTGGGTTTTGAAAAGCCCATGGCCGCACGTCTGGACATATCTAGTCAAGGTCTCTTCGGCTTTTCCGAAGGCCACCCCTCCGAATGGTCCGATCAGCCATTGTTTTTTGGTTTAGGTGTACGCCATGGTCTGACAGCCGACCAGAAGGAACTTTTGAGGATGTCCGGAGATTTTTCGTCGCGATGTTCGATCCCCGGAGTTTTGCTTCTCGCACAAGAAAGACGGTTGCCTGAACAAGAACGCCATCTTAGAATCTTGAAGCACCTCGCTGTTCTCCTCTGCAGGCGGTGTGGACTTGGGGAACCCTTGGTGATTGGATGTGACCCCTGGCTCTACAGAGTGACTGGGGAAACCACCCAGCTGATTGACTCCAGGGAGACCACTGATAAACACGGATGTTTCTGGGGTTCATTGGTGCGAACCGTCCACCCTTGTGTTCCAAGCGGGCATGTCAACCCCAAGAAGGCATGACCCTTACTGGCACCAGCGCCAGCGGAAGGCAGCTCCGAGGTTGACGTCGGAAGGGATTTGCACGGTGGATCATTTTCATTCGCCGTTGCCTAAGGCAACTGGCTGTGGGTCAAAACCAATGGGATCCCATTTTGGGGTAGGTGCACCAGCCATTTTAGTCTATTTTTTAGTGGGATTGGGATGTTCACCGGGGGTACGGAATTTTGACCCATGGCCAACTGAATAAACATGACGCACCCTCATGCGCGTTGTTCAAGTGCATTTGGCAGGTTTCATGCACTTGGACTTTTGAGTTTTCAACGCGAGGATCTGAAAGCACAAACAGCATGTTTGGGTCACATCCATCAGACCTCTGACATCGTTGCAGCCTGCACTGTTCATCATACGGGCTGCGTTTTTTGTTGGAGTGTGCCCCTTATTTTGTGGCCCCAAAGGGCAGCCTAAAGGGGACGACCACCATGTTGGCCCCCCCCACATTAAACACACAAAAAAACGACGACAGAACCCGATGGCTCTTCGCTATTTGGAGGCCGCTTTGAGCCCGGCGCCAGCGTCTCGCCAGGAGCTATGGGCCAAGCTGACCGCAAATGTTCAGCTGGCGCGGGACGACAGGATGCACATCAGCGACCCTCGGCAAGGGAATCAAAGCTCACCTCGGGCCCTCATATGGGTCATTGGCAGAGAGGTGATGCCACAGAGAGACTGCAGCTATTTCAGTGGCACTTGGATTTCAGGATTCAAGCCATGTGCTGCGTTGATTTACAGAGCTGCTCCTTTTCCACCTTTGCCTGCAACATCCTGCAACCAAAGTTGTCCTCACTGTCTAGCTGCTGGATCAGGAGTAAAGACTCAACATTTTTTATTTGCACAACTTGTGCAGTTGGCAACGGTCGTTGCCGTCTTGTCAGTTAGGATGTGGGGGTTGGCTTAAAAATGTCGCCTTTAAAGACCCTGGAGCCTGGAGCCGCCGTGTGCCGCATTTGAAGAGAGCTACCAAACAAGAAGCGCGCAGAGCCTTGACCAACCCCCCGGAAGCAATTGGTCGCCCCCTCACCCTGAGCCAGGTCTCTCAGTTTTGTGTCTCAAAATGGGGTCTTTCTTGTTGGAAGGCACCAACAGGCCGGGGACAGGAAACCCACGAACAGCTTCCCGCAGGATTGTGGGATGAAAGGGTTTCATCCCCGCTGTGATACAAGGGAATTCCCTTTTCATACGGAGGGTTAGTCCGGCAGGCCCTTTTTATTGTCTCACAGCATTCATTTCAACCACAGCCTTGCCTCCCCTGCTTCAGAATGATTCTTGATTCATTCTTTTCCCCTTTTTCGGTCTTAGAAGGCAACTATGTCACTCTTGGATATCCTCCTACGTGTTTTTTTGTTCTTCCCCAGGAAAGCGGTCTCCGCCAAAAAAAAAACACGGGCGCCCTCTCCATCTCCTTCCGGGCCGGTGAACCCCGGTCGCTCGCCGTCGCCCGCGTCGCCTCGCGAGGAGTTCACGGCGGTGCTGACGCGGTCGCTGGACTTCAGCTCCACGGAGGCCACGGGGATCTTCGACGCCCTGGACGCGGAAGGAGCGCTTTGCCGGCCGGCTCGCGCGCTCGCTCGGCGCGGTTTTCTCGCGCGGTTCTCGCGGGGGCGGGGGCGCGGGGGCGCGGGGGCGGGCGTTTTTTTTTGTTCTTTCTCCCCCCGAAACGGGGGGGGGGGGGGCGGTTTTTTGGTGGCTTGGGGGAAGTGGGGAGCGGGACCTTCCGTTTTTTTGTGGTTGTTTTTCTTCGTGGGGCTTTTGCGTGGGCGTGGGGCGTGGGGAGTGGGGCGGCACGCCTGTGCATTTCAGTACATCTAACAAATTATAGGGTCCATGCCTCCTGGCCGTCAAACGAAGCTCGATCCACAGCAAGCGTCAACTCCCCGAACAAAGTGACCCCCAATGGGATCGGATCCATGTTGAGGCCCACCTCGCCCCTATCGCCCCTCCCCGAAGGTTTGGCGAACCCACGTTGGGTCAATCAAATCTGTCCCTGTGTTTCTTTTTTGGGTGCTTTTGAACGTCACTGAAATAGAGACCCACTTGGTACGGCTAGAGAAACCCCTTCCCAGTTCAACGGTTAGAACAAGTAATTGCTGATGTTCCTCTTGGGGTGATGTTGTTTGGGAGGAAATTGGGAGCCCATTGTCTTTTGCGATGAAGCCTCCGTTGGCAGGACCCATGCGGAGCCACGTTGATTTAGCATCCCTGAACAAGTTCTAGTAACTGGGTTCCAGCTTGCACCAAGGTGCAATCATGCATGCGAAAGGAACGCATCTGATACCCATTCAACGGGCCCAGTTTGAGCTCGTTTCTTAGGAGCCAGCTTTGGGTCGGTCTTAAAGTGACACCATTTCTTGAGGAACCCCTCCCCCCCCCCCCAATTTGTTTTCTTTTGGGGGGAGGGTTCTATGTTAACCAAGTTCCCCCTTCCCACCCCCCCCTTCATGGTTGTTGTTGGGACACATTTTACCTTTTTGCTCATTGCTTGAAATCCAAAACCACTTAACTGCAAACAAAACATGAATTTTTGCTCCCCTTCCAACGTCAACCAAGTCTTCCCTTCCCCCCACCTCCCCCCCCCTTCCCCCACTTCCCCGCCCCTTTCTCGGAGGAGGGCACACCTTCAACCCCCCCGGCCGGGTGAGCTTCGCGGACATCGCGTGGCTCACCAAACTCCCAAACCTCGTGGACCTCGACTGCGTGGCGCTCAGGGCGCCTTGGCACCCGCGAAAAAGCGGGCTGTGTGAGTTTGTTATTTTGCTTAGTTTGTTTTTAACACATATGTACATTATGTATATAATACTGTATATGTATATATATATATATATCAGCCAAAAATAGTCGCGTTGTTTTTTGTTCGTGCTGTTTATTACTAAGCCAAGAACTTTTTTTCTCCAGGTGTTTTCTTCTTGCATTTTTGAAGTATTCTTGCTTCTTGCTTTTCAGGCGTGCTTTTCTTTGTTGGTTTGGTATCTCGGCTTTTTTGTATTTTGATTTTTGTGTTGGTTGTGGGTTGCCTTGCCTCTGTTGTTGGCTCTTCTTGGAAAGGCTTTTTTTGTTTAAATCATCAACGGTTTTCTCGGCTGGCTTCGCTTCTTGTCAAAGGTCGGGGGCTTCCAGGAGGACCTGGCCCTCGGC